GAGATGGGGGTAAGCAGTTCGGGAGGTTGATGGATAATGTTCGCAAAACGCTGGCAGTTGTCGCAGGTTTTCACAAATTGCCTTGCATCCTACTCGACCGTGGGCCAATAGTATCCTTGTCGAACCACCTTGGCCGACAACGACCTGGCGCCAGAGTGGTTCCCACACACTCCCTCATGGATTTCCCTAAGGATGTAAAGACCTTCTTCGGGAGTCACACACTTAAGCAGAGGCAGGGAGAAGCCACGTCGGTACAACGCTCCTTCTCGGAGTGTGAACCGAGCTGCTCTCCGTGCCATCTTCTTTTGCTCCTTCGGATCTTGCAGTGGATTTCCTTTGATGAACTCCACGATTGGGTCCATCCAAGAGGGTGATGGAGTGTCAACCTCCATCACATCTGGCTCTAAGATTGAAGGACTGTCCAAGATCTCGACCGGGACCGATCTAGCCAAGTCGGTCTCATATGCTGATGCCAATTTGGCTAAGGCATCCGCATTGGAATTTTCAGATCTTGGAACTTGACTCACCTCATAAGTCCTGAACTGGGCGAGGTGCGATCTGACTTTACTCAGATATTTTTCCATTCGGGGGTCCTTCGTTTGGTACTCCTCCTTGATCTGATTTACAACCAACTGGGAGTCACTAAAGACCTTGATGTGCACGGCCCCCAGTCCTCTGGCGACGCACAGGCATGCTAGAAGTGCCTCATACTCGGCCTCATTATTTGAAGTCCGAAAGTTGAACCGTAGAGCATACTCAAATCGCTCACCACTTGGTGCGAGCAAGAGAATTCCTGCCCCGCACCCCCTCTCATTGGAAGATCCATCAACGTAGATCGTCCACGAGAGGTCGGACTCGGTCAACTGGGACGGTGGGGTAAGCTCCGCGATGAAGTTCGCCACTGCTTGCCCTTTTAACGCGGTTCTAGGCCCGAACTGGATGTCGTACTCGCTTAATTCTAATGCCCACTTCATCAGACGCCCTGATATTTCAAGCTTAAGGAAGATATTCTTCAGGGGCAAGTTTGTAAGTACTATAACAGTGTGCGCTTGGAAGTACGGCCTAAGTCTTCGGGCCGAGGTGACTAAAGCGAAGGCCAGCTTTTCCGTTTGGGGATATCTGGTCTCGGGCTCAGTCATGGCCTTACTGGTGTAATAAACGGGACTTTGGCGCGCACCTTCCTGCTTGATCAGGGTCGAGCTGACGGCGCTATCAGATACTGCCAGGTACAAGTGGAGCTTCTCTCCTGGCAATGGTTTTGCGAGTAAAGGTGCCGAGCAGAGATAGTTTTTCAACTGCTCTAGTGCTTGCTCACACTCTACCGTCCATTCGAACGGTCCCTTCTTCCTAAGAACCTTGAAGAAAGGAAGGCACTTGTCCGTTGATCTTGACACGAACCTATTCAAGGCTGTAATTCTGCCATTGAGGCACTGAAGCTGCTTTAGAGTCTTGGGTGCCTCCATCTCGAGCACGGCCTTTATCTTCTCTGGGTTAGCTTCGATCCCACGGTTGTTTACCATAAAACCCAGGAACTTTCCCGAAGAGACTCCAAAGGCACACTTGGTCGGATTGAGCTTCATTTGGTACTTGCGCAATACTCCAAAGGCTTCGGTCAGATCGGAAAGATGCGACTTTGACTGCTTGCTCTTAACAAGCATGTCGTCCACATACACTTCCATATTCCGACCGATCTGCTTGGCGAACATTTTGTTCACTATCCTTTGGTAGGTCGCACCAGCATTCTTTAGGCCAAAAGGCATCACCTTGTAGCAGTACAGACATTGGTCTATTATGAACGCGGTATGATCTTGGTCTGGCGAGTGCATTTTAATTTGGTTGTATCAGGAGTAGGCATCCATGAAGATGAGCAGCTCGTGTCCGGCCGTTGCATCCACGAGCTGGTCGATCCTCGGAAGGGGGAAGCAATCTTTTGGGCATGCCTTATTTAAATTTGTGAAGTCCACGCACATCCTCCACTTCCCGTTGGATATTTTAACTAATACTACATTAGAGAGCCAGTCAGGATACAGAATTTCTCGTATATATTCAGCTTTTAAAAGTTTGTTTACTTCCTCAACAATTACATTACTCCACTTCTTATTTACAGGTCTTCTTTTTTGCTTTACAGGTCGGAATGATGGGTCTATGTTGAGGCGATGCACCATAACCTTTGGGTCGATGTCAAGCATGTCCTCGTGAGACCATGCGAAGATGTCCGAGTTGGACCTGAGGAAGTTGATCAGTTCTTCCCTGTCCGTGACCCCCAGCTTGGTTCCTATGCTTACTTGTTTTTCAGGGCTAAGCAAGGGAACAAGCTCGAGCTCCTCTGTTGGTGGGGAGAACTGCCTTTTGCCTACCCTCGAAAGGTGGTCTTGACTGGTTTGCTCTTCCAGGGCACATACTGACGATCCTTTGAGCGCGGATGCATAGCACTCCCTTGAAGTCTTTTGCTCACCTCGGACCGTGCCGACCCCATTAGGGGTTGAGTACTTCAGGACTTGATGAAGTGTGGAGGGGACGGCCCGGAATGAGTGGATGATGGGTGTTGGGATTTTCTCTACCTTTAAAAATATTAGAGACTCGTGCAAGCGCGCACGGTCACAAGTAATACTCGGAAGTAATCCAAGGTCGAATCCTCAGGGACTTGTTGCTTTTCAAAATCAAGTAATGCAGTGAAATGGTTCAAATATGCAATTGTGATTTAGGAAGAAAATAATGATGAAATGTTGTTGTTTGGGGTTTTAACTATCAAGAAATTTAATGAAACTCAAATTCCTTGTCTCCTACCTTAGTTTTGATGCAAAACATGGAAAACACACTATGTTGGGAAAATGCACCTGACTTTTCTTGGGATTTGAGTTCTACTCTTTCACTACCCCTTTTGGTTGCTGCAGAGGCTAGGGTAACCTACAATCATATTCCTATGTGTGATTACAATCCTAGAGAATATCTACCAACTCATTTGCATTATGGGTCAGAGGGCCTATTCCTAGGACCATATTTTATGGGCTTATTCCTAAGTCACATCCCATATTGGTTTCCTATTATTTTACCTAACTCACCTTTCCCAAGGTTGGGATTTAGTGTATAAATCAAGTTCCCACTGGCCAAATGGAAAAAGGACGTAAAGAGAAGTTTTTAGAAACCAACCCAAAAAAGTGTCAGGCGCAATCTGGCCAACATCCCGAGCGTGTTGAAAATCAAATCATTTGATTAAGGCATTCCACAAGGAGGTTGATAACCATAATTAAATGAAAGTAAATGCACGAAAACATAAAGAAAGTATTTTTCATTTAATTTAAATGAATAAATAAGTCGTACAAGGAGTTCTAGCTTAACCCTCTTCTCTCTCGAGCGTGAGGGGAGTTGAAACTCGCTAAAGAACTTTAAAAGAACAGAATGAACAAAGAACGGAAGTAAGAACTCGAATTAAAAGCACTACGAAAGGTAAAAGCGTGAAAAACAAAGAAATGAACAACTAGAACATAAACATAAACCCTAAAAATGTGTTCTACAACTAGATAGCATCTAAAAGAAGATGAAATGAAGCTTGGAAGGGATGATTTGCTGAGGGATGGATGACTTCCTTTTATAGCACCATAGGTTGGTTGAAACTCCCCTCCATTTTAGGTGGAAAAGGGTTGAGATTCACCTAACCACCTCACTTGGACTTGGACTCACGGTTTTAAACATGTGGGAAATGTCCTCCTTGCCCTTTATTAATCAAAACATGTGTTTTGACAAATTTCCATCCAAAAATGCGCCGGGCGCAATTCTGCAAAAAACAGAATTCTGTTATTTTCTTCCAACTTTGACCGCATTTATCTTATATTTTTCCTAAAGTACCATAGTTTGACTTTTATGCAGAAATAATCTATGTATGTTCTACTTTAAGAATATGTGGTTCTTTTTGGCAAATAATAATGGAAAATGGGTCAAAAACGTGGTTAAACAGGGCTACCGACACATGTTTATGCAGCAAAAAGTCAACCCTAACAATGGGTCTCCCGAAGATGGCGTTGTAGGCCGATCTGCCATCGATCACCACAAACTCAGCCATTTGCGTTACTTGGGTAGCATCTTACCCGATTGTGACCGGAAAGTCAATGCACCCTTCAGGAGAGACCGATTCTCCTGAAAATCCAACCAAGGGTGTTGGACTTTTCTTCAACTGAGACCTGGTCCACCCCAAGGCAAGATATGTCGGGAGGGACAAGATGTTGGTAGACGCGCCTCCATCTACCAACACTCTTCTGACCAGGACATGATCGATAAGGGGAGCGATCACAAGCGTATCATTATAAGGCAAGTGGACTCCTTCCAGATCGGTATCGCCGAAGGTGATGGAGCAAGTAGGTTTCTGCTCCCTGATGATGCATACCTCGTGTCTGGCCTCGCGAGCTAGCTCTTTTCTTTTGTTTCCGGACTGGCCACCACTTGGGCCTCCGAAAATAGTGTTGATGACCGCAGATCGGTCTTCTCGTCGAGGCGGCGTTCTTGAACGCTTTCTCTCTTCTTTCTTTTCGACCGAGTTATACCTCGGTTTCCCAACAAACTTTTTGAAGTAGCCATCTTGAATGAGGTCTTCAATCTGGCGCTTCAGCTCCCAGCAATTTGTTGTATTATGGTTGTGATCGCGATGAAAACGGCAATATTTATCTTTATTGCATTTTTCTGGGTCTCCTCGGAGCTTCTCAGGTCGCTTGAGGAGCTTTTCCATCCCGCTTTCCTCGATGTTCGTAAGTATCTCAGAGATGGGGATGGTGGTTGGAGTATATCGCTCGTAAGGTCGGCTTCGATTATGGCCGATCTCCGACCGACGATACTCGGTTCTACTGCCAGAAGAGGACGATCCCTTGTCCTTAGACTTAGAATCAGCCTTCCTCTTCTCTTGACTTAGCTTCTTCTGGTCGATTTGCTTTTCAGGTCGGCCAGTCTTGGTTCGGAGGAGTTCTTGGCCATCGATGACTTTCTTCGCCTTTTGCAGAACTTCGGCGAAGGTTGCTCGAGCCTCCTCTCCGAGCTTAACGGTGAGAGTCTCGTCGGCCAGGCCGGTGAGGAAGTAGCACATGGCCGAATCATCGGAGCAGTGCGCGACCTTCAGCTGCTCCTCCTGGAACATCGTGACGTACTCTCTCAGCGTCTCTCCCTCCTTCTGCCTGATGGCGGCGAGGTGAGTCGCTATCTTTCTACCATAATGACCAGAGGAGAATTGGTTAATGAATTCTTTCCTCAGCTGGGAGTAGGTCGAGATCGAACTGGCCGGCAGTCTCCGGTACCACAGGCGCGCGCTGCCGGTGAGAGCGATCTGGAAGGCGCGGCATTTTATCGCATCTGTTGCCGCTTAAAAGTCCATGAAGCCCTCGAAGACCTCAACATAATCCTTCGGGTCCTTAGACCCATCATAAGGATTCATAGTGGGAGTTTTGAACTTTGGAGGAATTGGGGCCTCCAGGATGTCCGAGGTGAATGGAGATTCTCCCAAGTCGCCATCGTCAAACGAGCACTCTTTCTTCTCGCACCTGGCCTTGAGCGCCTCGACCTGCTCGTCGAACCTGTGTTTCATCAGGTCGAACTCTTCCCTGGTGATCACAGCTTCCGGTGTTAGAGGCTTATATTTTGATTGAGCCTTGAGGTCAGAATTGGAGAACTCTCGAGAGTAAGACGGAGAGTCTTCCGACTCCCGAGATGCTCTCTTCTTCTTATAAGTGAGGTGCTTTCTCAGATCGTTATCCCGCAAGCTATAATCCACCCCCTCATTATTCGGAACGGGCTCGCGGTCGCCAGGGTGGAAAGATGGAACCCG